TTGTAAATGGAGCTCCTCACATTAATGTATTCTGCACCATTATTATAAGGATGACAGGAGAAAAGTGTCAAGGAAGGCCCAGCAAGAAAGGAGGAAGGCCAAAGGCCAGGCTGCACCCCCTTTCCTCCCCTCTAGCCTGATTGTCTCCCATCTGCAGGCCGCCCCATGGTTCCACCAGGTTCCCTGGGGAGAGCTGGAGACTTAGCACTTCTCAGTTGCTGACTATTGGCAGACAGTATTCTGCATTCTCAGGGTGGCAGAGCCAAGAGGAGTGGCAACGCCCATTCTGACTCTCCTACCCTCCACCTCTGCACCTTCCCAGTCAGCTGGTGCTTCTGTTCCTTGGCGGGCAGCCTGGTTAGCTCACACAGGCTTCCAGGCTCCTCCTAAGGTCCAGTCTTTTTCCAGCCCCAGGCTCTCCCACGGCATTGCCCGCCAGCCTGGCTGGGATCCTGCATTGTGCTGAGGAGCAAGGAACTAAGTGTTGGTGGGAAATATTATGCAATTCCTAGGGATTATGGTAATGTGTAGTCACCCTCAATTTAATCATAAGTATAGACAGTTAAACACTAGATTATAGGCATCAAAAGTTGTTGACTGTTTACTAAAATCTAAGAGGGTAGTACAATATTATCCAACAGTACATATTCATTACGGGAGAAAAAGGAAGTTCTCTTAAATGTCTCCACTGCATATAATTTACTCTGATGAATACCCACAGAGTATGTGTTTCATGTCAAGTGCAAATTAATTTTCCCTCTGGCTCTTTCCCATGAACTTGCCACTAGGCTATAGCTACTTAATCTCAACACCACTGGAATTCTAGAAAACTCCTCTACTGAATTAGAGTACTGGAATAATTCCCTCCTGCCCTGTCCCTGCCTCATTTGGTCAGCTCGAAGCATGGGTACCCTTGTCTCTGTTAGTCCCTTTACCTTTTGTTTCATCTTTCCTGGAGCCCCACACGTGGGACATCCTCACATCTCTCACTCCTGTTAACCTCCACACCAACTCTCTTCCATGAGTCCTTCATCTAGTCTCCAGAGAATCCATTCTCATTTCTATGTTATAGAAAAGGTAGGAGGAAAAAAACTAGCAATGAGCCCAGATATATTTGCTTAAGTGCCTTAAAACACATTTTGAAGATGACCATCAAACCCTACTCTGAAAGAGCATAAAATTGCTACTTTTAGGATTAAGAGTTAATATTCAGGATGTCAAACTGAATTATTAAAATATAATGAGGTGGCACTGATGTTGGAAAAATCATTATCTGACTCTGTAACAGAAGGGGTCTCTGCTAAAGGCCAACCTCTCGCCCCATGTGCTCTGTATCCCTTCTCGCTCTCTCAAAGCCTTCAAGTGTATAGCTTCCCCTTTCTATTTCCAGTAATTTCTCTCTCCATCGAACCATTCACATAAACAAATTTATCCTAGTATCTCTCATCTTTAAAGAAAATGAAATTATCTCTTCACTCTAGCTAGTGTCACCAATTTCATGTGGATGTGTTGCCTTTTGATCCTGTCTCGGATTCCTTTTCTCCCATCCTCTCTTTAATCTGCACCAGTTTAGTATTGGAAAATGTAGCCTCTAACTGGGTGGCTGTGTGCAAAGGGGGGGGGTTCTATTATTAGGATAAAGCAGAGAATACACACTAGGGGATGGTTAGCTGTCTGCCACGTTACAAGACTGTGAAATGCTTTAACTTTGAGTTAGGGTAAATTTGTGTCTGTCTATCTACCTATCTATCTATCTATCTTCTGTCTTTTGACTCACTATATCATGTTTTGTCCTTGTTGTAGATTATCTAGGTTGACAGGTTCTATACCTGAGAAATACCTCTGTCTTGTTGCTGCTCATGAAAACAGTCTGCTGACAGTCTAATCGATGTTCTTTAGAGATAAGCTGTCTTTTCTCTCTGGCTGCTTTTAAGACTTTCTCTTCATTTTGGTGATCTGGTTTCACAATGATGTAACTTGGGCCTAATTTCTGATTATTTAGCTTGGGATTCCTTTCATTTCTAAGTCTGAGAATTTGTGTTTTTTATCAGCTCTGGAAAGTCGCCTTTTGAGGTTTGATAATGTTTTTTTCTTATGGAATTCCAATTTCCTGTGCTTTGTACCTTCTCTTTATGTCTTTTATCATGTCTGTTCCACATTTTTATTTCTTTGTGCTGAATTCTGGGTAAGATATTTGGGTGTTTTTCTGTTTATAAATATTCCCATCTCTTCTATTTCCAACAAAATGTTCTATTAAAGCACAGTAATGTCTTATTGTAAAATCTACTCTCTCTCTCTCTTCCTCTCTCTCTCATCCTTGAGCAGATTTCAACATTAAATAGTTGTACACATCAAGTTTCAGATGTCTATTCTTAATAAAGTAAATCTTATGATATACCAAAGTGATTTTTGTGAAATGAGGGGAAAAACATCCTCTCCTGTCTAAGTAGATAATTGTGTGGATTGCTTCTAACAACCTTTGTTCCAAGCAGTTTTTTTAAAAAGAAAACTTTTGGTTTGAAGGTCCCAGTCTTTTCCCTCACTTTGCTGCAATCTCTAGGCACTGAATGAACCCTGTACTGGTCAGTGGGAACTGTGGGGTTAGGGATTGTTCTTTCTGTCCTACTTGAAAGAGGATTGAACATTCCTTCAGTCCCACATGGTGTGCAGTGCTGCTCTGATCCTCCAGATCCAAAAGGAGTCAGATCAAACTGGGTGCTTCTTGCTAAGTAAGAGAATGTGTTGGGTTGGGTGCCTCAGAAATTCTTAGCATGTTGAATGTCACAATTAGATATAAAACGGGCATCTAGATACTGGATGCTGAACAGGTCAGACCTACTCTTAGCCAAATTTCATTATCTTCTAGAGTAATGATTCACATGAAATTGCTGGTCCATGATTATCTCACTACAACAAACACCCTGTAGTTGCCTGGGCATTGATAACTGCCTTGGTGAACACACCTCTCAATTTCCATAAGTCACATTTACTTACATACCTAGTTCTTAAAAGCTGGCCATTGACCTTACAAAACAGAAACTGCTTCAAGAGTAGACTCTGCAATAGGTTTTTGAAAACAGCTCTAGATTATCTGATGGAAACTTCTTCATCATGGCTGGTGAGAACATGTGCTTAGTTGTGGTGGTAAGGCCTTAGGGGAATATTTTCAATACTCCTGTTTCATTGGATCTACCCTCTTCAATTCTAAGTGGTGTGTGTGTGTGTGTGTGTGTGTGTGTGTGTGTGTGTGTTGGTGGGGTGTTGGTGGTTAGGATTAGGGTCCTGTCAGCCCTGGCAATAATTTGGGCTAAGTGATACTTGGGCTTGGATGTCATACTCCATTTAGGTTAAAACCTTAGTTGTGACACTATGTGAACTTAGAAAATTACCTAGCCTCTCTGAGCTTAGCTCCCTCAAGGGAAAGGCATGGATAATAATAGTGTAGGCCTCCTGTGAGTACTCAGTAAGACAAGGTAAAGCATTTAACACAGTTCTTGGCACATGTTAAGCACTCAAGAAATGTAAGCTCCTGATTTTATGGGTGGTGATGGAAAAAGTGAGCAAGAGAAAATGCTCCAGGCTCTGTTTTCACTTGACCTAGTACTGTTTTGTTTTGCCTTTTTTTCTCCCTCCTAATTAATTCCTCATCCAAAAGCACAGGATGTGAAGCTGTCTTGTCTCCTACTTATATCCTGGTTCTGCTATTTACTAGTTAAGTGACCGTAGAAAAGCATATTGCTTAGAATGGGTAATAAAAATAACAAATCTCTTGTCCTGTCACAGAAAGGTTCTCATTTCATTCATGCAATGGTTGGCTGTAGGTCCAAGGAAGCTACCTCTGTGTGGTGCTAAGCCCTCCTGGCTGTTTACTTTATGTGATTCCCAGAATAAGACCTCCACAATCACCCTGGCAGAGGAAGAGCTGGGGTTGTGATGGAAATATTGGGAGCAATGTAATTGGTAAGTGTTCCTGTTTTTGCCACAGAAAATCTCTAAGCCTCTCTGTGCCTCTTTCTCCTTATCTATAAAATGGAAATACCTCCCAGGCTGTTATGAGAATCAATAGTGCATATGATTCCATATTCCATTTAATAATATACTTGTCAGGGTCCTGGCAGAAAACAGATGACACACTGGGAAGAATTTATTGTTCTTAGAAGAAAATAATTAATGAGACTAGGTCAACAGGTGTGGGCAGAGTTGAGGACCACTAAGGGATATGTCTAATATCAGATTCCTTTGATGCAGGTCCAGCCCAGCTGGAACCCAAGAAGCCTGTGATACATTTTGGAGAGGTCAGGTACCCTGGATACAGAGCTGGCAGATCTAAGTGGGGGTAGAGGAATGATCAGAACAGTACTTAGGATAGTAGGTACTCGATAAACCTCCACCAAACCTGTAAAGCTCAATCTACATCACTGTAGGGCAGTTGGGCTTGTGAAGTGTTGATGACTTATCATACTCCAAATTGGTCTCATTTCATTTTCTGACCTTTTTCTCCCCCTTCACTGAAACAGACAGTGAAAAGGCTGGAACTTAGGTTGCAGCCGAAATCCAGACGGCCATGTCTATGACAAGTGGCATAGTCAACATGCACATGTATCCTTTCGGTGGCACGAGGACCCAACAAGTCCTCATCTCCCCACACACCCAAGCTAATATAACAGTCTACCAACTGGTCTCCCTGCTCCATGACAATTCCATTCTTTTTTGGGGGGTTGGAGAATACTGGGGATTGAACTCAGGGGCACTTGACCACTGAGCCACATCCCCAGCCCTATTTTGTATTTTATTTAGAGACAGGGTCTCACTGAGTTGCTTAGCACCTGGATTTTGCTGAAGCTGGCTTTGAACTCTTGATCCTCCTGCCTTAGCCTCCCAAGCTGCTGGGATGCAGCGTGTGCTACCATGCCAGGCCATGCCAACTCCATTATGCCACTTTTAAAATAACAGTCAGTGCTTCCTTCTTTCATGAAAAAAGAAGTCCAAACTGCTCACCCTGAGATCCAAAGCTACCATTTATTTCTCACCTTGACAGCACCCTCCACGTAAGAACTATTCCAGTCACGTGTTCACAATTTTCCACATTTTTCTCCCCTGGATCTTGGCTCCCGATGGAATGAGCACCCATGGTCACTTGGCAAAGTCCTACCTCTCTTTCAAGGGTCAAGTCAATACCAACCTGTGTACAACTCCTTTTCTTAATCCCCGCAAGAAGGAAAAAATCCCTGTTCATCCTCCATGTCCTTCTGCTCCATGATTGTCTTTTATATATGTGCCTCTCTCTTTTACTAGATAATATGCAAATCACCAGAACCGTCTTCATTTCTTTCTCTTCATTTCATCTTCATTATGGGGCTTAGCATGGTGTTTTTCATGCAGTAGATACTTAGTACATATTTGTGGAATTGAAATAAGTCCAATTCCATTTTGAATCTATTTCAAAAATAGCTCCCTAAAGAGTTAGGGAAAGAGAAGCCCCCATTGCCGGGTCTTTAATTTAGGTAGATCTCTTTTTGAAATGCCATAAGCTCAAACGTGTACCAATAGATGAATAGGTATAATGAAGGCAGAGGTTGATGAACCAGGTAGGAAGGTCTTCCTTGTAGGTCTCTAATGATGTCAATCATTAAAAGAATATGAAGGGAGCTGTGCTGGCTGTAGTTTTCGTTAGAGGTCACAGTTCTGAGAAGAGTGGACCTCTCCTTTTATTTTGCACAGCAAGGCAAAGGAGCAAAGGAGTCTGGTACTGGCTGATAGCTTTGTGATCTCCCATTTCAAATCAGTGAGAGGCATGGAAACAGAAAGTCTGACTCTCCCTAAGGTGCCTGTTGAAAGGAGTCATAGAAATTCTTTCCATAAAATTTGCATACACAGCTCTAGGGAGAGGGTGAGGGAGTTACCACAATCCCTGCTCACCTCTTGCAGCCTCTCAATTATTTCTTTGCAAAAATATCTTCAATTTTTATTATTTGAATTGCTAAGAAGGCTTTTCTGTCCTTCAATACAGTCTGTAAATTGTGGGCAGCCACCTTCTCTGAGATGGACTTTAGAGCCTCAGCTCCCTCCCACTGCTCTGCTCTCACATTCCCTCTGGGAAGTTGCTGGGTGTTTCCTGTTCCTCTGACCTACCCACTGCTGCTGCCTCAGAACATCAGGACACTGCTCCTCCCAGTCTCTCCCTTCTTTAAGCAGTGGCAGCTTAGAAATAATATCCTGTGTTTGTGTAGCATGTTCCAGCAAGACTTCCAAAGCCCTTTGCAAACATCAGCTCATTCTCACTGCACCTCTCCCTTTTCTCACCATGTTGTGGCAAGGAAATTGTGGAGAGAGCACGTGGTTTGACAGAATGGGGGGAATTGCATTTGTAAGGTAAAATAAGAGTTTAAAAACATGGGAAAAGTCAGAAAGCCTAAGTTCTTCATTTCGGAATAAAGTTCCCTCTGGAGTTTCCCCCTTACTTTAGATTCTGTCCATCTGGCTGCTTTCTTGGTGATGTTTCAGCACAATGCAAATACTTCACAACACCGTGGGGGAGAGCAGTCTCCCTGCGTTTTGCTAGGCTGATGAGATTTTTGAAAACATGACTTGAGTTTGTGTGTGTATGTAGTTAGGGAGCTTGCTGTAGTTTTGACTCAGCTGGAGGAATGAAGCACCTACTAGTTTAACTCCTTGACCTTCCTAATAAACTCCCCATTTTATGGATGGAAAATTGAGGAGCCAGAGATGAGCCAGATCCCTGAATCCACACCTCTTTCCACTGGACTGTGGCTCTGTATTCTGTTGAATTTGATGGGACATGTGAGACGTAGACTTGAAGACCACAAGCATTCCCATTCATCTCTCTACTTCAATTGCTTGTTTCTGGGCCTGGGAACAGTTGAGTAGATGTCTCCACCTTCTAGATGCTTTGCCTTTTGCCTTGGATCTGCCACATTCAGTGTTTTGGATAGAAACCTGATCAGGTAGCCAAGTTCCCAGTCATGTCTCAGCACCTAATAGCCATGGATTAATTCATACCTCTCCCCTCAGGCTTTATCATCTCCAGGCTCATCCAATTATGATACTTAGACATAGAAGTTCATCCGGCTCTGATTTCAAACTCAGATCTAATCTATTTACTGGAACCAGAGAGATACTACTAAGGTCAAGCTCAGACCACCACTCATATCCTTTTAAAAAGGGAATGGCACCCTCCTGTAATGAAAAAATAAGGAAACTCTTCAGCCTTCAGCACTCCATAATATAATCTTGATTTGCCCAATGCTTAATTTCCACTATTCCTTTTTGCAAGGCCTATGCTCACGTTTCAACCAGACTTCTTGCCATCCTTGAAGATGCTTCAAACCTTCCCATTCCATTCATTAGTATTCATTTGCTCTATTCCTCACCCTGGAATGCCCTCCCCAATTCCCATTTCCACAAGCAAATCTTATTCTTTTTTCAAAGTTTTTTTCTAATGAAGATTCCCTGAAGTTGAAATCCTACGTATCTTCTCGAAAACCCCAAAACAGATTGTGTTTCTCTCACAGAACAAATCTTACACCACCCTGTAGCAAAACTCTTTTTGTCTTATCCAAATGCAACTTCTATTGTATATTCCTAAAAACAAGTATGTGCCTCCTCTCTTCTTTCATTTTTCCACAGTATATATCATGGGACTTGACATAATAGATGCCAAATAAATGTTTGTGGGTTATATGGATGAATATTAGCACTAACTAAGTGCTCAGTAAATATCTGTTGAAACTTATTTGTTAATGATTCCTAACTCTGCTTCTCCAGCTATGACCTCATCTAACCTCCAGTTTTGTATTCCCGATGTCTTCAAGAATATATACGGTAAATGTGTGTAGCATGTCCAAAACTGAACTGACCATCCCTTCACCCCCACTCCAATTTTGTTCTTTTTCTTTTTGTCTCATAAATCCTCCCAGCTTGTACCTTTGTAAGAGTTGCTTTACATGGGGGCTCAATGAACATCAGAAGCTGGATCAAGTAGCCAAGTTCCCAGCACCTAACATCCATGGATTAATCACTATCACAAAATTATAGGATGTCGGAGCTGGAAGCAACTGTGGTGCTAACCCCTTCATTACAGACGAAGAAACCAAGCTCCCAAAGGGATTTGCACAGAACCGGAGGTGGAGTTATCACAAGACTCCAATCTTCTCATTCTTGGCCAAGGTGTCTCTGTCCTCATTAGATCTGACACGACCTTTCTAAGCTCTTTTGTTTTTCCAGGTGCTTCAGGTGGTTATTTTCCAAGTTGCTGCATGCTTCAGCATCTCTTTTTCTGTGACTCCCACAGAGTGATATTTGACAGTACAGGTCTTCAGAATCTGCAGCTCAGGACTTACACAAAGCTGTTGGCTTTTCTAGAACAGTCTGCTATAACTCTATCCCTGCTCCCTATCCACCCCATCATCCCCGTACCTGGTGAGCCTGTTTCTCTACAAACTTCTAATGTGTAGCTGGTAGCAACTTTTCATTACTAACCAAGCTGCAGGCTCAAGTTTTCTTCATCTTATCTAACATCCCCTACAAAGCTAAAGATAACTTCGGATATTTTGAAGCTTTGAATAATCAATTCACAAAAGGTTATTTAGAGCATGATTTAAAATGACCAAACTTCCATAGAACACAGTTCTAACTAGACAATATGCACTTGGGCTAAATCATCTGAGCTCACAGACAGCCCGCAGGGTGACACTGATCAGAAATTATGTACATCTGGTCTGCTGAGCTTAAGGGCCTGCAAGCCCGCTCAGCTGGCTCATCCCTTTCCAAGGCAGGGAGATGGAGAGAAGCAACATTTTTTGAGGACTTACTATGCGCTTTACATAGGTGATCTCCTTGAATTTAATCCTCTCAGTGATTCTGGGTGGTAATATTCTCTTTTTGCCAAACAAAGAAGCACATAAAAAAGTGTGGTCACTTTTTCAGGCAGATATAACCAGAAGCAGAGCCAGGTGTTCTCTGCTTCCAAAGACTAAGCTTTGACTATTTCACCTGTGGTTTTCTTCCTGTCTGCCTTTCTTCCTCCTTCCTTCTTTCTTTGTTTTCTTTACTTCTTTCTTTCTTGAGAAGCCAAATGCTTTTTTCCCACCTGAAATGATATATAAAACTTGAATACATAAAACACCTAATAGCAGAATTGTTTTTGCTTTATTGGTAATGGACAAAAACTGGAAACACCCCAAAGGTCCACCAATAGGTGAACAAATTAACTTTGGTATATTCATACAATGGAGTACAGCTCAGCAATAAAAAAGAATGAAGTAGTGATACATTCAGGTCATAGGTGAATCTTAAAATAATTATGCCAAGTGAAAGAAATCAGACCCAAAAGAATATAATAATTCCATTTACCTGAAAGTATAGGAAAGGCAAATCCAATCTATGGTGACAGAAGACAGAACAGTGGGTTCCTGGGGAAAGAGTGCTTATTGTAAATTGACTAAGGAAACACTTAGGGGCAGTGGAAATGGTTCTGTATGTGGATTATGGTGGTAATGAATACAACCGTTAATAAAAAATGTTCACATCTTTATCTTCATGTATAAATTATACCCCAATAACATTAGGGTTTTGTTTGTCTTTTAAAGTAGAACCACTATATGGAGGAAGGAATGTCCTACCTTGACGCTGGTAGTGACCTTTCAACTTCCAAAGGAACCCTGAGATTGTTTTGTGGAAATTTGCATCTTCAGGAAGCTGTTTAACCACACCAAGTTGTATCACACAGCCATGTATCACCCAGGTAGTCTAAGCTTTGTAAAGATACAGGATCTGTTCATTTAAGAGTAAACTTCTTCAATGTTCTTCCTGAGGGGTGCATACTTCAGGCAAAAGATGTGATAAGCTCTGTCTTTATAAGAAGAAGCTTCTGGTATAGCTTGTTCTCTGTACAGTAAAAAGAATGGTAATGCAGAATTCATGTTAGATCAATGAAACTCGGGAATATTTATGAGTGGAAGTGTGTGTGTGTGTGTGTGTGTATGCATAAATTTGTTTTGCAACACTAGGATGCAGTAAGTATTGTTTTATTGTTTAAAATCAAATAACATCCAGCCCCCAGACTCAACTGACTACAGCAGTGTATGCTCAATGTCAGTTTTTATTGCCTCAGAGCAGGGCAAGAGTCCTGTTGTATTTAGCATTTCAGAAAATAGAAGTGTCTCCATTATTGAGTTGATTCTGGTCAAAGTTAAGTGTCCAGTGTCCAACCCTTTGTGGTCCATTTCAAAGATCTGCAGCTCTGATCCCAGGCTGAAGCCAGAGGACTTCGCATTAAAGCTCTAAATTAAAGAGTCACTTAGGGCCCTTGAAATCATGCCCCTGTGGAGTTCTGGGTTCAAGGCATCCTGGCCCCTCTTATCTCCAGTTGCCCCTAACATTCTCCCTTCTCTGAGGGTTGAGAAATCTTCCCACTCTACTCATCACCCTCCATCCTCTCTCCCCAATTAGATATTTATCTCCTAAGACTCTGGAAGCCTTTTCTAGGGCAATTCAGCTTAATCCCTCTCATGAAACCTGAAACAGAGCTGACAAAGGGCAGGGGGTAGGAGAGTAACGTGGAAAGGGCAAGACAGCACAGTCTGCCAGTCCATCTGGTCACAGAGATCTTTTATTCTTTCTTGGTGAATCCACAGCAGGAAAAGATGAGCCAGAAATTAGTTTCTTTATTAATGACTCAACCAATTGAATAGGAGGGTTTATATTTATATTTATGTAACATCTATAAAGAAAAGAACCATGTTTATATCATTCATGATTTTCTTCCCTGCACCATTTGGGACAATAAAGGTAAAGGATTAGTGTTGGAAGAAAGAAAATAAAAGTAAAGGAAGTGGCCAGAAGAACATTCAACACATACAGTTGGTTAACTTTGGGAAGTGGAAATCTGTGGGGGCTCTCACTTACATGTCTATGAATTGTATTTCTTTTAGTCAGTTTTTCATCACTATAACCAAAAACCTGACAAGAAAAATGTAGAAGAGTAAAAGTTTGACTCACAGTTTCAGAGGTTTAGTTCATGGTCGGCTGACTCTATAGCTCTGAGTCCGAGGTAAATTAGACTATTCCGGTGAAAGGTGTGGCAGAGGAAAGCACTTGGAACATGACAGCCAGGAGCAAAGACAGAGAGTTCTGCTCCCAAGGACAAAATGTAAACCACAAAGGCACACCCTTGGTGACTTACTTCCTCCAGTCACATCCTACCTGCCTGAAGTTACTGCCCAGTTAATCTATACCAGCAGGTTATGTATTAATTAGGTTAAGGTCCTCATAACCCAATCATTTCACCTCTGAAATTTTTTGTGCACAGAATTTACTGAACAGGATAGAATTAGGTAGGAGGAAAGTGTCATTCAAGGAAAAAATTAGCAGAACTGTCTGGAGCAGGTAGATGTAAGGTAGCATAGAAAAGAAATAAAAGGTAAATAGAAAGGAGACAAAGGAAGGACAGGAAAATATAGTCTAAAAGACTTGTGCTTAAGTTCTTCATACTTTTCCTCCCAAAGCCAGTTTTCCTCCCAGGACTGTTATTTCCAAATTTCTGGGAAATCTATAAATCTTTACTCACAATCTTAAAGTTACTGGATATTCACTCAAGTATAAAAATTGTCCTGTGCACTGGTAATTAGCCCACTAATGCATATATTTTTAGAACAGAGTGAGTAAAGGGAAATATGAAATCTATAATATAAGGTGCTTTGCTGGAAACTTGTAATAGAGGGTGCCTTCCCAACATTATCTATCGATCAGATAGTGGAGAAGGTGTCAATCTAAGGATCTCCAAAACCATCTTGTGATCACTGGTGGATGTCATCTTCACCTATCTTTTCATGCCCACACCTCTCCTTTTAAAAAGAAAGCCTAAAAACCCTAGTGTCTCTTACTCTTGAGATGGCCCACCTCCTCTCTTGCTTTCCTAAGTAAATCTCTGTGCCTCGATATTTGACATGCCTAGAAATTCTTTTCTACAGTATTTGTCAAGGACCCCATCATCCTAAATTGAGATCTTCTTTAGGACCTCCTCAGTCAACCCCCCAATGATAGATATTTCATGAGCCACAATCTCTATGGCTGACATAAAATGGAAGCTAAAGCATCTATAAGTTCACTGAGTGAGCTGAGAGTCTTGGTTGAAGTTTTCCATTATTCTTAGAGCAATGGTAATGGTTGAACAAGCAGGACCAGGACTAGGGCAGAAGAGGTACCAGCCTACTTATCTGGGTTCAAATTGAACTGAGTGCCAACAAGTTCAGGTACTTAAAAAATAACATCCCTTCAAATTTTAATTTTGAAATATTTATGGACTTACAGGAAGTTACAGCAATGACATACCCAGTGGTGCCATCTTATATCTCTATAGTGTAATATCAAAACATTGTTATTAGAACATTACTGTCAATTATACAATAGAAGTCTTTTTGTTGTTGTTGGTGGTGGTGTTGGGGTTTGAACCCACAGACTTATGCATCTAGGATGCTACATAAACACTCTACCAACTGGGCTATATCCCCAGCCCCAAATGGCCATTTTTTAAAACTTGTATTCATGTGTGTGCGTGCACTGCGCATGCGCACGCATGCACAACTTAAGATAAGTAATATTTTAATAAAACATATATGCATATATATATTTTTTCTGGTACCAGGGATAAGACCCAGGGGTGCTTAGCATGTGAGCCACATCCCCGGGCTTTTTATTTTGAGACAGGATCTCACTACATTGATTATGGCCTTACTAAGTTCCTGAGGTTGACTTTAAACTTGCAATTCTCCCGCCTCAGCCTCCCAAGCTGCTGGAATTACAGTTGTGTGCCACTGTGCCTGACATAATGTAATAATTTTTATGTAATAATTTTAAAGATCAAAATTAATGCCCACAGACCCCCTAAGATGAACAAAATATCAATGTTTTAAATAAAGACAATATCCATAAAAGCTCTGTGCTAACCATGTTGACACCTGAGGCTAAAGGAAAAAAACAGTAATATTTGTTTGTCATGAATGTTTTTACATTAATTTTGATTTTTAAGAGCATTATATTACAGGATTATTTATCTTGACAAGTGAGTTTTTGGAAGCCCCTCAGGTTTTGAGCCCGAGACAAGTGCCCTGCTTGCTTATGCACCAGGCTTTGCAAGTGAGGGCACCATGAGATAGGGCCCTGTGGGGCACTTGCCTGAAGGCAGGAGAGCAGAGAATGTGCCTCTTCCTGCTGCTCTTTTCTGCTGCCATCTGCTCTGCTTTCTGGGTCAGGCAGGGTGGTGCTGGTCCTGTGATTCAACCCCAATTACATGCTGCAAGATGCAGAGCTCCCTTTTCAGGGCCAGATGGATCACAGCAGTTTGTGGCTCTGTCCCCTCTCTCTGGCCCCTGGCTTCCTCCGAAGCCCAGCTCTGCCCTGAGCTGAGCAGTCACACAGCACATCATCCCATCTTTGTGCCAAGAAATTCAAAAGGGACAGTGACTCACCTTTATTTTTCTTTCCTGGATATTTTCAGTTTTACACTAGTATTTCATTGCATCCATCTTGATTTGTTAAGGCTGCATTACAAAGTACCCAGATTGTGTGGCTTCCACAACAGACATTTATTTCTGACAGTCCTGGAGGGTGGAAGTCAGAGATTCCAGGGGCTGACAGGGTTGGTTTCTCCTGAGGCTCCTCTCCTTGGCTTGCAGATAGTTGTCTTCTCCCTGAGTCTTCTCGTGGTCTTCCCTCTGTGTGTGTCTGTGTCCTCCCTTATCTTCAGAAAGACACCAGTTATATTGGAATAGAGTCCACCCTAATGACCTCATTTTAACTGAATTACTTTCTTGAAGGTCCAATCTCTAAATGCAGTCACATTCGAGGCACAGGGTGTGTTAGGATTTCAATATTTAAAATGGGGGAAGGGGACAAAGTCACATCGCCCATAACAATATTTTAACCACTGTTTTCCTGGCATGGAAACCCGCACGGGAAGTGCTCTACTGGTGGGCTGCTGAGGCACCTATTTGTATTCTGGCTGCCTAGCGTGTTTTCCCCCTTCCTCCTTTCATCTTGGCTGCATGCCTGACAAAAGAAAGCCACTGAAGTCTTTTTCTAGGCCTTTTACTTTGGAGCAATAAGTGCTAGGAGGATGAATTCTGAGGCCACCAGAAGCTGCCTGTTCTAGCACATGGAAGAAACCCATCAGCCACCAAAGATAATAAGGTCAAGACACCACAGGAGGAGTAAGGACAATCCTGGATCCAGTTAGCCTGTCATGGACTCTGTCCCTTAGTCCCTCTCACATGGGTCATTACTCTTGTTTTTGCTTAACTTAATTAAAGCTATGCTTCTGTCCATTGTAATATAAAAAGTCTTGACTCATGTGATTCCTGTTAGCTGTGAGAAATCCTGCATGGGAACCAAAGGCCTATTATTTTATCTGTGCTTAGGTCCTAAAGAACTACTTCATTTTAGGAGATTTCAAATAGGTTTCTGGGGGTGATATCTTTCTTTCCTACATTGAACTGCTTATAAAATGGAATTCAACAAATATAAAATAGCAGGGTAGTACAGATTCAGAATTTGAGACAAAAATATTTGAAACTAAATAATACTAATGTGGTTGAATTGATTGTGTTCATTTTTGGACATAATGAGGCAGGAAAGTATTGGCACTTTGAAATCAGTCTGTAGAGATGGGTCACGGTGGCCCAATGCATCACCATTGGTACCTTTAGGGATTCTTTGGGAAAGGCCTAGTTACATTCACCATATTGTGCCAAACACTATAGACCCAGTGGATGGTAAGACAGGTTTTTGTCTCCAAAGTCATCTTGCTGTGAAGACAAAGATGTTCAAAAATGTACAACCAAAAAGAGTATTACACTTTTTATGGAAATGCTAACATAATCTGACCCCAAAGTAAACATGGTACGTGAAAAATTTGTGAAGCAAATTTTGAAGTTGGTCCTATTTATCTTAAAACCCTAAGTGAGTTGGAAATTATAAAAAGGGACCAGGGAAGGAAAGTGCAGATGGGTGGGTTGGTATTAGTCCCTTCACCATAAGCCTAGGGCTAGGACTTTCCTAGGGCCACTTAGAGGGCTTTGAATGAGGTTCTTGTATTTGGGATGCTTGAAGGAATGGTCTCATGCCTCAGAAAACCAAAGTTGCTTATGACAGTGAGATAGAAGTAGTGCCACTAGGAGTTGTCATGCACCTGGAGTTTGCTAATAAGGCACAAATTCTATCAAATAGGCTGATCAGAGGGACCAGGGAACTGAGTAAGAAAAACAAGTAGCCCCTGGGCAGGAAAGGCTGAAAAAGCATGGGAGACAAGGTCCTAGTGACCAGAATTTCTGAGGAACCCACTAGATAAAAGGTCCTTCTTCACCATCTGCCTGGCACTAAGAGCACAGCCAACTAAGGACAGCCCCATACGATTACCTCTCCTCCATCCCTTCCTCGCTACCCCATCACAGTACTGAGTGTGGGGAAGGTGAGCAAGACCACAGGCCCTCCCATATAAGCAGGCTGCCTATCATAGCACAGGAATGGGAGGAAATCTTCACTTTGAGTGAAGGCTGAAGCATTAGATTCATACTTTAGACCGAATGTCCTCATTTCTGAGTATTTATAATGAACACAGAGCTGTCTAAGTAGAGTGAGCAAAGAAGTCAGGATTGTGTCCAATTCTCCACCCAAGGGTAGTGTGTTAGCTTGCAGACACTAGGGCAAAATACCTGTTGCTTTAGGCCTGTGGCAGATCAGTACATCATGGTGGGAACACATGGTAAAGGAGTCTGCTTACCTCATGCCAGCTGGGAAACAGAGGGGTGTGTGTGTGTGGGGAGAGAGAGAGAGAGAGAGAGAGAGAGAGAGAGAGAGAGAGATTAGGGAACGGGTTCCCAGGGCACACCCTCAATGACCTAACTTCCTTCCTCTAGGCCCCACTATTAAAAGTTCTACCCACTCCCAGTAGTGTCATGGCAGGTGACCAAGTCTTTAACACATGGGCCTTTGGAGAACGTTTCAGATCCAAACTATAGCAGGTAGGGATGATTACCTTCCATAAGTACATTTAAAAGAACAATGGGAGAAAAAATTAAGTTTGTTTTGAGCATATCCCTTGTGTTAGTTTTAAAAATGTTTTCATGCAGAGGTATATCTTAAGAGCTAAACACCAAAAATAAGAACAAAAATAAGAACAAT